GGGGGGACAGCAGGGACCTGGGGGGGGCTGCCATCCCTGGTCACATCTCCTGGTGTCCCCACAGGACCTCAGCACGCAGCTCTCCCGCACGGGCACCCTGGCTCGGAAGGGCACCAAGACCTCGGCGCAGGCCGTGGGCACCCTGGGGTGAGGATGGGTGTGGGATTGGGGGGTGGGCTCGGCCTGCCCGTGCCCCCCGAGCGGTGTGGCACGGCCAGGACCCCTGTGCCGAGCTGCCAGCCGGACGCTGTGCCCGCAGGAGGAGCACCCGTGTGCCCGAGCCCATCCAGCCGCCCGTGGTGCCCGAGGGGAAGCTCTCGGCAGCCTCCTCCACCTCCTCGCTGGCCTCCGTCAGGTACCGGCACTCTCGGAGTGTCTGGGAAGAGCTGGGAGCTCGGGAGAGCCCCGGGCAGCCCCTGTCCTGCTGCTGCTGCTGCTGGGGGAGGCTCTGCCTCGAGGGGAAAGATCGGGGGCTTGGGAGATTCGCTTCCCCTGGCAGGGCTTTGTCTGCAGAGTGAAAATACCCTCTCCTGGAGAGGGTCCCTGCTGGGGAAACTGAGGCACAGGGTGGGTGGGGAGAGGGTTTGCACCCACAGCCAGGGGTGCCTTGCCCTGGCCTGGGGTGAGGTGTCTGTGCTCAGAGTGGGGGGCAGAGCCGGCTCCCCACCCTCACCCCGCTGTTCCTCCCTCCCCAGCTCCAGCGGGGCCCCGGCAGCCACTGCTGAAGGAATCCCGGCCCCGCCACCGCTGCCCTCCCTGCCGGGACCACCCCCCCCGGGACCACCCCCCCTCCCTGGCACTGCCATCCCCCCGCCGCCCCCTCTCCCCGGGGCTCTGCTCCCGCCGCCCCCCCCAGGGGACTCGGCCGTGCCCCCCCCGGACCTGCCACCCCCAGGTGAGTGCTCGGGGCTCAGGGGGGACACGGGGGGCTGCGTGTGACCCCTGCCCCCCCTGAGCCCTTCACCCCTCGTCCCTCTGGGGGGGTTTGCAGCCCCCGAGGACCTGGAGCCGCTGCCCCCACCATCAGCTCTGCCCGACTTCGAGGACTTGGCCCCGCCCCCCCCCCCCCCCCCCTCAGAGGAGCCTTCCTGGGTCCCAGAGAACTACCTGGAGAAAGGTACTGTGGATCCCCAGATCCCCTGGATCGATGGGGACTGAGCCCTTTTCCACAGGCACAGCCCTGAGGGCCCAGCCCTGCCCCACCCATGATGCCCTGGCTGCTCATGTCCCCCATCCCCCCTTCCCAGCCATGCCCTGTCCCTCATATCCCCCATCCTGCCCTTC